TAGCAAGAACCGAACATCGCTAAAGCGCGACGAAGTCTTGATTTTGGCGCCACTCTTCTTCAACAATCAAGACACCTCGGCGTATCAAGCACTGGACGAGGAGTTCGATTCGCAATCGATTGTGTGGAACGGTGGAGATTGGGCAGAGGGTGCAGATTCGATTTTGCCGGATACGGTCTATGGTTCGGAGGAGGGTCAGACTTTCGAGGCGCCCAAAGTCAGCTCGTATGAAGCGCTGGACGAGGTGGTGAGATGGTTCAGCGACAAGAACGTATTTCCAAAGATGGAGTGAGTCGGTGCCAAGACGAGTTGGAAAGGTCGGCTCGAGTGTGTGGCTGATATTTTCGGTTGGTGCTTTCTAGGACGGTGTTGATTGCTGGCCATAGCATGGGCGGTCAGATTGCGCAGCGCTATGCACTCCTGGGCGCCGTTCCAAGCGCTTCAACACCTGTGCACTTTGTCGTTGCCAACCCGGGCAGCTTTGCATGGTTGACCCCGGAGAGACCGGAGCCTGTGGACGACTGTCCTGGTGAGTAAGAAGGCTAAAGGACGGTGGTGAATTTCACGTTGCTGACGCGCGCCAACCGCACCGTCTTCATTCTTCGCAGACACCTACAATTTGTGGAAGTATGGGCTTGAGCTCTCCTCTGATGGCACGTGGAGTCAGAGATACCTCAAATCCTTCATTCAGCAGTCACTGGATGCCAAGTCGGAGGTGCTGGATGTTCGAGTACGGTACAGCGAAATTCGCCTCGTCCACTATCTTTTCGGATTGGATGATTTCGGACCAGGAGACACGCGATGCCAAGCACTCACGCAGGGACCGCATCACTTGGGTCGTGGACAGAATTTCCTGCAACATTTGGACACGCAGGTGTTGGGACCTCGCAGAGAGGCAGACGCGGCGCAGCATGGGTCGGACAATCTGCAAGGATGGGGGAAGGCAAGTCACACGAGCGATTTCGTCAAGGGCTGCTCGCACGATCCCATGTGCATGTGGTTGAGCAAACAAGGGATAGAGCGATTGTTCTTCACCAATGCGGATGGAGAGGAAGGACCTAGAGGTGTCGGAGATGACGATGCGGTGCAGGCAAAATGGTACCCCTGGGGCGTCAATTCTGCGACATCACACTTTCCGTCTTGGTCAACATCGACCATGCTTGGGGCGCTAGCGGCCTCTATCTGCGTGGCCTGGCTATGATCTCCGTCGGCCTATGGGTCAGCGCCTTGCATTCCCCAACCACAGAATTCAGCATCGCATCCGCGTTCCGAGACAGAACACCAGCAACCACAAATTTCGGTGCAAGTCATCGATTGGTTCGACCGGGCTACCTGGCGCTGCAAGCCGGATGGACAGTCGTCATGGATGAGCGCACGACTTGCACCGTCGTATACCTTCTTCAGCAGCACACAAACCTCCTTCGGGCTCACCCTGTCCAAATTCACCGTCAAGTGCATCCATAGATTGCCATTTTGCCCCGCAATTCTCGCCTTCTCTGGTCCCTCGTCACATGCTTCTGCTATAGCTTCACTGCCCCTTCTCATGTGCGCCATTTGCACTCCTCGTCATACCCTTGCGTCGGTGCCATTTGCGAATGGAGCTGCACCTCGATGCAATAGATGGTAAATCCGCAATTCCCGATGTGCGCGGTCTGTAGGGACTTCTCTGAGGGCGTGGCCGGTGGAAAGGTCGAACGTCGCAATCCTCGGTGAATTCTCTCAAAGGATGATCCAGAAAGCATTGAGCGCGATGGAGCGGAGCGACCTGCTCGCGTGGCTTTGTTGTGAGTCGCTGTAGTACCGTTACAGGCTGCACCGCAAATACAAGCAGACTTTCTCCGCCACGAGAACGTTTCTAGCAGCTACACAGCTCACTTTTCTCGATTCCAATCGCCCTCGTTCCATTTACGCTCCAACCATCTCGCCTCCTTTTGCATCTGTTCTAAGCTCCTCTCTGTGCGAGGCGAAGAAGCATCCAGACCTCTTTCCGACTGCTTTGCTTGACTCTCCTCCACCTCTGCCTTGACGCCTGCTGGCTCTAGTAGAGACTTTTGCCGCTTGAAGAGGGACATGCCGAACGCTTCCAGGTGGGTGTAGATCTGTCGCGAGGGAGGAGATGCCACGTGTGAGAGACGAGCGACTTTATCTCACTGAGAGATCCGAATGCGCAGTGATTTCTGCCCC